CAGATCACCCAAAGAGAAATACTTTACTTGGATCTGTGTGAAGGAAAAAAAACAGGATTTTTACACAACAGATGAATAATGTCCTTTTTATTTCTTTTTCTCCAAGACAGAGATTGGCAAATCAGATAATATCCATACTGGATTTAAAGCACTCAGCTTTGAAATCAACCAACCCACTAGAAACTACCTACTTAAAAGTGTCAACCAGCTATATGGAGAAAAATCATTGCCTTTCAGCAAGGTAATACTTTTATTTAGATTATGCAGTGTCATTTAATCTTCATGATCAACCTATGGCAACATAAGCTATATATTTTACATATTTTTGCTACATTTGCAAATTATGTTATTATCCTTAACATTAACATTTTCTATGATACTTTTCCTTAGACTTTAGACACTAAAATTTTAGTTTTTTGGAATGTGTATCTAATTTCAGAGTGATTTGTAGATGTAGTTAGATGAGAATGTTTAAATTGAGTGTTTCCACTAAAAAATTTGTTCCTTTGAGAAAGGAACTAAAAACTTTGTTCCTTTGAGAAAATACTGTGCTTGTGCCCATGTAATTTTCATCTCTGGCTGTAATAGTACTCATATTGGCAGGCAGCAAACCTAAGTTAGGTGTCTCTATTGCCCTGCAGGAATACTTATTTTTAGCCAAGAGATATTATGGTGCAGAGCCACAATCAGTCGACTTTGTGGGAGCAGCAGATGCAGTCAGGAGAGACATCAATTCCAGTGTTGAACAACAGACTGAAGGTGAGTTCCATCCTCTCCTCTCCAAATCAAAAAGGAGTCATTTTGGCTTCTCTGTGCCCAAGGGGCCCATGGCAGGTAAACAATTCACCTCAGAAAGGTAAATCAGACTTTTTCTAAATTACTCATCTACCAACAAGCTCTTACTAAAATTAGTGTCCTCCATCTCAGTGTGTGAGGAATATGTCTTATTCTTTGCAAATCAAGGTTACCTCAGTAACTACATATTTGCAAAGAATCTCAAGCTAGATGAGTGCTATGGCAGCACTTAAAATTTCCCTGGTTTATATCCCCAGAAACTGTGCCAGCTCTTAGACTGAAACAGTGAAACTGCACAGATGTGTGAATGTCCCTCTGTTTTCTCTAGGTAAAATCCAGAATCTGCTGCCTCCTGGATCCGTAGATTCACTCACCAGCCTAGTCCTGATAAATGCACTCTACTTCAAAGGAAACTGGGCAACAAAGTTTGAAGCTGCAGCTACCAGGCAAAGGCCTTTCAGAATAAACATGGTATGGCAATATACTGCCCTATTTCCTACAATGCAGGTGGAAAAACTTGAAAAAGATGGGGGGAGAGGAGGGGGAGGGAGAAATCTTGTCACCCTTTAAATCCATGTGGCAGTATAGTTATTTCATTTAAAGCATACAGTGCATTCAGTATATTTATTTCACCACACTTTCAACACTAAAACTGTACACACATACCAGGCCCTGAGGCACTAGCAAATTATCAGAAGTTGACTTCAGAAAAGCTTCCATTCTCCAAAGGTAGGAAAAAATAGAGGAGAACAAAACTGTATGGGTTTGTTCTTTACATGTTCACTTTTAACCATTCAGCAAATCAGAGTGGCATACAGTTTCCTACAATTGGTGTCATCTGAGACATCTCAGATAGCATGCCATGCCTCCCAGTGCCTTGCAGGGATCCTCTGAAGATCCTGTGTTCTGTGTCCTACCCATTAGGATGTCTCAGACACATTGGGCAGTTTGTAGAGTAAACTGTGCTACTTTAACTTAGTCTTTTACTGTTCAGAGTATAAATGTAAAACATTCCATTTGATTTGTTGCAGCATACAACTAAACCAGTGCCCATGATGTACCTGAGGGATAAATTTAACTTAAACTACATAGAATCAGTTCAGGCTGATGTTCTTGAGCTTCCATACGTCAATAATGACCTCAGCATGTTCATCCTGCTACCGAGTGACATCTCCGGCTTACAAAAGGTAAAAAAATTGAGAACATAATTGCTGTGAAAAAGTAAGTGTGTCATTATCTTCTTACTTAATGCATGTGTGAGGTAAAAGACCAGGCTGTAGTCATGGTTCTAGGAAGGAGGATACTGATGAGGCTCAAGGTAAAGCAAATCCAAAATCTGGTCTAGTACTGTGAGCTTGAAGCTCTTGACGCTCAGACTAGATTTCTTAGTCTTGGAAGCCAGCATGTCTGTGCTTACTAAATTTCGTAAGTCCTGGAAACAGGTAACCCAAACCCCGTAAGATTACCTCTTTTCCAGAAGAACAAAAATGAGTACACAAAACCAGCCCTGCTGAGATCCACTGTCCACACCAATTCAGACAGATATGATTTCATTCTGGAAAAAACCTACCAAAAATTGGGCAGCCTCTGTTATGTTCCAGGACATCCAGAACTAATACGTATGGATACTGCCACCTTCTGTAAAAAGCCTGATTCTGCCTTTGGATAACAAACCCTTAAGAAATTTTAATTTTTAAGGTGTTGTGTAGGGGGCAGGAGAAAGCTCTTTTCAGTGAATTCTAAAATGTGGGGAAGACAGTCCTGGGAACAGAAGAACAGCCAGACTATCATAGCTCTGCTATATTCCCTGACAGTTACTGAGAACATTTCAAATATTGCATTGATATATCATAGAACAACATTCTCCTTTAGAACAACATATCTCCAAACTGCTGTTTCATTACTGTTTTTCTTGTACTCTTACAACCTCTTGAAAAGTTCTCCATTTAAGAGAAGAAGTAGCCTGTAGAGCACACGTTTTTGAACATATTTTAATTTTCTGATTTTTTTTTTTTTACTTACTGCAGCTAGAAAGAGAATTGACTTTTGAAAACTTGTCTGCATGGACAAATCCAGAACTAATGGAAAAAATGAACATGGAAGTTTATCTGCCCAGGTTCACGTTAGAAGAGAAATATGACCTCAAATCTACTTTGAGCAGGATGGGGATACAAGATGCCTTCACAGAAGGTCAAGCTGATTTCACAGCAATGTCCAAGACTGGTGATCTGTTTCTGTCACAAGTTTTCCACAAGTGTTACCTGGAAGTCAATGAAGAAGGCACAGAGGCAGCAGCTGCCAGTGCGTCAACACTGGCATCACGAAGTCTTGGTGCTACTATTATCTTTTTGGCAGATCACCCTTTCCTTTTCTTTATCAGGCACAACAAGACCAAGACTATCCTCTTCTTGGGAAGGTTTTCTTCCCCCTAGAAGCTCGATTACTAAACAGGTTATTGCAACAACAAAAATGAACTAAATACACACCACAAAGAACATCTCAATAGCCCGCGCACTTCTTAATTTTCCTGTATTGTTGACAAATCTCTCAATGTTAGAAGAGAGTACTTATGAAAAATAACCTCAAATTTATGCCTCTGGCTCATTTTCCTGGCCAAAAATCCCCAAAATGCTAGCACTACACACTAAGTAACCAACTGCGCAAAGAAGAACATTACTGTGTCTTTTTAGCACTTTCTGAACCTGAACTTTGACAATTCAGAACAGACTGAGTTGAGCTCGACCAGTAATTTTAAAGTTTTGATACCTAAGAAGACAAAAACCCAAGAAAATCTTGCAGAATGCTGCTGCATCTCCATTGGTTTCAGCTTATGCTGATCCCCAAAGCAGGCTACTCACCCACATTCTTGTCAGTTTTTTACCAACTCTGGTAAAAAACTGCAGCCTGGCAGAACTGGCAATGAAATAAACCTGCAAAATCACCTTTGTTCCTGATAGTGGTGCTTCTTTTTTTGCTCAAAAAGTGGTTAACACATGTACTTTCTAATCTCTATCCCACAGCAACTGGAAAATATTTAACAGCACAATAGAACTAGGAAAATAAAACACATGTGCCTCACAACCTTCTCCTTTGTAAACTTTCACCCTTACAACACTATGCCCAGCCTAGCAGTGTGCTGCTTTGCTCTCATTTTAATTTGCCATTTATTCACTGGTTTGAGACAAGAAAAAATGGGAGAACCAAGTCTACGGCTAATACAAGTAATACTAATGGCCATAAGTGCTTTCTGGAAGATGAATGTGAATCTCCCAGGTCATATTTACTCCTGTCACTGCTCTTTCTCCTAAGAGAGTGCCCTGATCAATCATGCATGTTTGCAGGGAATGCTCCTGACTATATGAATTCACAACAGACAGCAAAGGACCAGGTTTCTTAACTTGCACACACCAACAGCTATCTTACTACAAATACATTTTCCTCAAACAGCAGAACTCCCTTTTCCTGGCAGAGACTGCTGACTGTCCCTGCATCCTTTCTCTTTTCATTCAAGTGGCCAGCTGCTCCCAGGGTCCCTTCTGGCTCTGCTTCCCAAATGGGAAGGAACATAGGAAAAGTGTTACGAAGCACGTGCTTTATCCCTATAGAGCCCCAAGAGAAATGCCTTCTGCCTGTCTCAGCTGTGAAACATGACACCGGATCCCTGTGCATTCAGTCCAATTCTGCCATACCCTCCTTCACCTCATGGAAGAGCAGCATGTCCCCATGGATAAGCCTCTAAGCACTTCCTGATATGCCTTGGGAATAAAGACAGAAAAGCACACCTGGAAGGCCAAGGAGAAACAAAACTATGACAACATGGACACAGACTCACTCAGGCCTTTAAAGTCAATGGAAATATGAGTGACCTTTTCTCCCTACTTCACTATTTTAAGCATGGTTGCAAAGATGACACAGTTGATGTCCTTTTGGCAGTGCCATATCATTACTAAGTGGCAGTGGCCACAACATATGAAAAGTGAGTTGTACATTAGGGAACAACTTTTTCCCGGGGTGAAGAGCAGTGCTGGAAATGTTGTGGGATCTTCATCCTTGGAAGGGCTATGGCTAACCTTATCTACTCATGGCCCTGCTCCAAGCAGGAGGTTGATCTCTGGATACCTCTTTCAGTTAGTATCTGTGATTTTTTTTTCTCTCTTGTCAAACCACTCTGCCTTGCAATCTCCCTTTCTCACCCTATATGGCTTCCTTGCATCTTGACTAGCAAAGGCAACTATCTTGCTCACAGATATATCTCTGGGACTTGGGAGTCTCCTGGCTTGGGCTTTCTCACCACCTAACCATTCAGCTGACTTTTCTCCTATCCAGATTTGTGGGGGACGTACTCACCATACTAAAACTAGCACTTGTTTAATTTCTGGCATTTCTTCACTGCCTTGCACAACACTGATTTTTGACATTTTTTAGAATTCTTGACCCACTGTATTCCTGTAATCAGGCTTGCAGTAAAATGCTTAGCAAACAGTACAATTTCCTTCCTTTCCTGCTCCTTCCGCTGCCCTCTAGAGTCTTAGAGTTGTTACCACCTTGTTCTTCTTCCATCACTGTGTCTCTTCTGGGAATTCAAAATGACAGCTCTTGTGCCATGTTTACCTCTCTTGCATCTCTGTCTTTGCTTGAGCCCTCCCAGCAGGGTTGTTTCAATTCTTGCCCTCCTCCTTATTGTGCAGCAACTCAGGGTTTTGCAGTGTTTGTCTCAAATGATTCCCAGCCATGACTGCAATGAGATTTCTTCACCAACCAGTGGGGTTCTCCATCCCTTGCCCTCCTTCACAGCTTTGTCTCTGTCTATGTTCCTAATAATCTTCAGTCTGAAGCTGGACTCCCAGTGTCCAATTCAATCACTAAACTTGGTGTTTTATGCTGAGGTACTGCATTTGAAACACAGGAGTCACAGAACGGAGAATCTGACCCTCAATATCTGCTTAAATCCAGAAACCAAAACAAAGTATTGTGTAACCTTTTTAAAATTCACTTATTTAAAACAACACAGCAGTTATCTCCACAACACCAGAAAACCTTTGGAATCAGCAACTTGCTTTGCTATCCAGTCAGTAGGCTATTTTGGTGCAACAACAGACTTGACAATTCCATTGTCCTTTTGAAATCTCTAAATCTGAAAAGTGACCAGGTCAACAAAAAGGCCAGAACTTTGTAAGATATTTTGGGGATGTAGTAGAAAGGAACTTTGGGTAGGTGGACACAATGTGGATGTAGATAAAAAGGAAAGGGAGGGGCAAGCAGTACTGCGTTCCCTAATATAAAAATTGCTTAACACACAAATGCAGAACCTGACTGAGGACAAGAGCTAAGTCTTCTCTCTCACGGGATTAAAGGTAAATATTTAAATCAATTTAAGGAAATTTTATGGTGTTTTTAAATGCAATCTGTGCCATGTGTGACTGTATGGATAAATGATAATACACCTGTGTTATAATGCATTATTCTTGCCTTGTGTTTTTCTAAATGTCAACCATTAGAGAAAATAATGCTGTAAGCCTATGGAAAACTGCTAATTTGGGGCAGAATTATTCACAAGCAGGAAAGTTTTCTTAGGGCAGCAACTGCATTACAAGTAAAATCTTCATTTTGATAAAAGAATTCTGTACTTCAGGTGAAGGCACAGCACTGCACATTATCAGGCCAGAGACTCAGAGGAGTATTCATTAGCTGAAAACAGAAATACCCATCCTGATGCTCTCTTGGTTGTGTTCTCCAAGGAAAGAAAATCACTCTGGTACAGACATGGTCCTGAGGGTATACTGACTACCAGAAAGAATGCAGTTGTCTGGAAACCAATCACTTCATAAATATCTGCAGACTTCAGAGATTGCCCCACAATTTTTGTTGCTCCATTCCATAGATAAGACAATGAGAATAATATAAGCATTTCTGGTTTTTTAAATGGTAAATTACATGAGGCAGCTATTACTGGGCAGATATCTTAAAGCCTAGAGAACTCATAACCTCAAGGCATCTGGCAGTTTCTGGGGGAAAAAAATTGCTGGAACATTCAGAAGGGGTGGTAGGTACACAGAATGAATAAACTGTGTAAGTCTAAATGGAAACAACAGCTTTGCTGTTCATGAAACTACTCAGAATAGGTTGCTGGCCAGGAAAAGCAAATGAGCCTAAAAACTATGCCTAAATCCTTTTGCAGTATCAGCTGTCAATTCTATACAGATCCAAATGTAGTAGTAGGAAACTGAAATAATGTACTAAAATGTGAACCAATGTACTAAAAATGCATATAATTTCCCCTATGAATGTTGCTTTCATAAATCATTAGTTAAGAACAAAAAAGGAAAGAAATACAGAGGTTATAAATCTGCACATCTTTGGAAATCAAAGGCAGAAAGAATCACAAAGAAAACTGCAGCTGTAGCGGGAAAAAACCTAAAAGAAATTGGTGCTCCTAACAGGTGGCAACCAGTATGTGTGTGGAAGATAAACATACAACTATGCTATTAGTTTTAGTGGCTTAAATGGATTGTTTTGCACATGCAACATTTCTCATTAATGTGTACAAAAATGTATACAAATGTATACAAATATGTACAAAAATTTAAACATTCAAAGAATACAATTCTGTTTGTTGCCTCTTTCCAGGTTGTAAAAATGGAAGTGGTCTCCACATCAGTTGGCAACTTTACTGTTGATCTTTTCAACAAGCTGAATGAGAACAACAAGGGAAAGAACATTTTCTTCTCCCCTTGGAGCATATCAGCTGCTCTGGCTCTGACATACCTGGGAGCAAAAGGAACTACAGCAACTGAGATGGCAGAGGTAGGTTACTTTTGTACTATTACTGTGGGGAGAACCATTTGGATTTGCACAAACACATTCCTGCTGTTGGGAGAAACAGCTGTGGAATGGAGTTCTGCCTTGCAGCATGTAGATAAGAGCACAGTGTTGGTGGTCTGGGAAGGGTATGGTGCTACTCATTGTTATTCCATGGGATTTATTGTCAGTACAGCTTCAGCAGTAGAAGAAGACCTTTGATTAGTCACCTAAGCAGCAGATAGCACAGTGAGTTATCACAAGGAGAGAAACATGACAACCATTTGATCCCCATTTGACTTTAAGTCTCACAAGGCCCTTCATGCCTATTTCTTATCTTTGAAAATTCTGCTTGCAGGTCCTTCATTTCACTGTGGGAGCAGGAGCTGAAGCTTCTTCTTCTGTGGCCAGACCTTCTCGGGGGAGACCAAAGAGAAGAAAATTGGTATCTATTTGAACTGAAATTCCATTATAAAGAACCTGCAGAATCAAAATGTCCCGATACAGCTTTAGGAGTCCAGCCTTTATTGTCTGCACTCCTCTTTAAAATACAAACCCCAGCCATACTTCACAACAGGATGATGTTCAGTTCCTTTCACTCACTCAGACTCTCAGAAGCTGAAAGGATGAGTGAGTCACTGGGATAGTCTGGAAGGTTTGTTATATGACAATTCAGTTAATCCAGTCACGAACAGAGCTTTGCAAATTTGCAATGATGGTAAACTTGGGAAAATAAAAAGGAAGAGGAACCTAAATCCCTCTCCTATATGCATTGCTTAGCATGTTTTGAAGGCTTGATGCAAAAATTAAATTCTGAATGTTTGCTTTCTTTTTCCAAGGATCCTGAGAACAAACAAACTGCAGATATTCATTCTAGCTTCAAGAAGCTCCTGACTGCCATCAACAAACCCAGAAGCACCTACTCCCTGAAAAGTGCCAACCGCATTTACGTGGAAAAAACCTTCCTATTATTGCCTGTAAGTTAAATCTCAGGGAAGAGGAAGAAAAAGTGCAAAAATATTTCTCTTTTTAATTACTTGCCATTAACAGAACAGTTTGGAAGCTGACCTTGAATACTGCAAATAGGAGCTCTGGACTCCAGTGATAACCTTAACTGGAAAATACCAGTCAGTCTGCTCACAGAATTTAAGGATGCATTGCCCTTGACTGTATTGTAGATCCCTACAATCCTTTACATGAAATGTGCCTTTAGTATTGGAACCCCCAATATATTAAATTGTAAATGAGAATAAATAAGCACATCCACAGGATGCACGCAGCCTTCCTCACTTCTCCAGATAAATCTTGGAACAAAAGATGTGAAACTTCTGTTCTTTGCTTATTTCTTAATTGTTAAACCACAGTCCAGCACAGAGTAACAAGCAAGATCCTGCAGTCCTCTAGGTCCAATAATCTATCAAGTATAAGAGCTAATAACTTCCTTTTGGGACGAAAAATAGCATATTTCTCTAGTACAGAACTTTTTTGCTCACTTTTTTTTTATTTTTCAGACATACATACAGCTCAGTAAGAACTACTACAAAGCAGAGCCACAGAAGGTTAACTTTAAGACAGCACCAGAACAGTCAGGAAAGGAAATCAACACTTGGGTTGAAAAACAAACTGAGGGTAAGCTGGGCTCAACCCCAACATCTTTGCTCTCCCACAAAGTCAGGCTGCCATTTCCCTTGGGCAGGTGCCCTTGCTTCCCCAGGTGCTACTGCAGCAGTCAGGTCATGCCTCCCAAAGTGGATGTGGGCAGTGAGCAGAGATATGGTGGGAGGACAGACAAAGAGCAGCACACTTGAGCAGCTCCAAACACCTGATGTGGACCTCATTGAGTTCCCTGAGGAGATTCCCATTGACTCCACAGTGCTTTGGAGCAGCTAGTCTGCTGGCACAAACATGCCCTGGTGCTGCACCACTGGCAGAGCAGACAGAGGGGAGAAACACTTCTGCCTACCAGAGTGCTCCAGGGCAGGGGGGGATGCCTGCCTTGCTGGACCACCCTGCACTGGGCAGAGGGGCTCCTCCTTCTACCTGGTGTAACCAGTCAGTGAGGCTTTCTGCTTCTAGCTGCTTGCCATGAAGCTGAGACAGCTTTGGAAGAAAGAGTAAAGCCCTGTCAGCCAGGAGGACAGGTCAGGAAACAGCTTTGGAGAGTGTAAAAAATTGCACTGGTTTATCTCAGGGAAGCATTTTAGGGAGCAGGGCATTGTGGCATGGACTTTTTACTAAGAAGCTGAACTGAGAGAAAAACTGATCAAAATGTCCACACTGTGCTATGCTGGAATGAAACCTGATTCTTGTGCTTTCAAAAGGCAAAATCAAGAATTTGCTGGGTCCACGAGATGTGACAAACTCCACCAAGCTGATCCTGATAAATGCCATTTACTTCAAGGCAGAATGGGAAGTGAAATTTAAGGCAGAAGATACACAGCTGCAACCCTTCCGACTGAGCAAGGTAAGTTCCTCCTTCTTACTGTAAACAACCTGGTCACAACATCTATTGCTGAAATCTTTCCATTTCATAAGTTGTTTAGGTAGCCCTGTGGTAACTAGACCCTGTGAAAAGCTGGTTGCAGCAAAATCTGTCAGTTCTCAGCTCACTGAAACATTAGGATGTGCTCAGGTAAATGTTAGTGAGCTCCAGGTAACAGCTACTTCTTCCAAAATCACTACAGACATTTAAAACTTTGCAGTAAAGCAGTGCTAAAATTGACTAAATTGTAAAAACATGATTTTGAGAGTCCAGGCTCCATGGATGGGAACTACATGGCATATCATGGTTGAGTACAGCACCAGGCCTCTGTGCTGTGCAACCAGGCTGGGCACAATCCTTCCCGCTCAAACACAGCTGCAACAGGGTGCCCTGAACTGGTGCATGTCTGTGTGAGGCTAGAAGCAAGGTTAATGGCATGTACCCAGGAGAGATGTTAATGAATTCACAGTTAAAGAACTCTGTGCAACTTCCACAAAATCTGCCTTCTGCTCTCTGGTTAGCACATACACATGGTCTGCTTCCTTGAATGAAGGGATACAGATGTTAATAGAAGTTACACACTCCTGACAATGTGACTGTCTCCCAGGAACTCCTCTCATCATGAGCTCTTTTGCTCTCACACTAGAGTTATCTTTTCTCAAGCAATCAGCTGTTTTTTCCAAGCAATTACCTTTTATTGCCAGAGAGAGGAGATCACTGATAAACTGCACAACACTCATCCTCTTAAACCACAGCTGCTTTTCTGCCAGAGTGTTGTAAGGCCATATCCCACACCTGCTCCATACCCCTAATCCTTGCAGACATTTCTAACTCTCTTGCTCCTTAGGCATTTTTTGGGGAGAAGAGAAAAACATCTCTTCAGCCCCCTACAAAAGCTTTGGGACAGACACCAAGATAAGCAATGTTGTTCAGTCAAGAAAAGCTTTGGAAAATGGATGATAAATCACTGTTTTAAAAGTTTATAAAATTTCCTCTCCCTGCACTGAGACATCATCATCCTTCCATTCAATGATTTCTTACTTATAAAAAAATACTTTCCAGAACAAGACCAAGCCTGTAAAGATGATGTACATGAGAAATACATTTCCAGTTCTCATCATGGAAACAATGAATTTCAAAATGATTGAGTTGCCATATGTGAAACGTGAACTCAGTATGTTCATCCTCCTTCCTGATGACATCAAAGACAACACCACGGGTCTCGAACAGGTACAACCATTTTGTATTACTGCTCAATCATTTAAAGAAAAGAAGGGCAGGCTGACAATAATATATCCCTTTCTGAGGACACGCCATCATGCTGTTTGACCTCATCCACTAGCTGAATTAATTTTCTTTAATGCTTCTTTAATCCCAAGTAAGTTCTTCCACGCTGAGGGCCCTTAGTTTGGCAGGAACTGAAGACAGGCAACACTTTGCATAATCAGATGCTCAGCTCTTCAACAGCCCCCTTGACTGACACCCAATTTTACATGATCTGTAAGGGTTGAATCTCCCTTCCTTGCATGTTCAGGAGAGACACCACCACATACGAAGTCATAGGTTCTTCCTGAGATTACACCTTTTCTTGATGGCCTAGAAGTTTATTTCCATATTGTTCTCGCTCTTTTTCCCCTCCCACCATTTGCCTGCTCGATAAAAAACTAGAATATTGGTGAGACTGCATTTGCTACAATAATGAGATCTGCTACTGTAGTTACTATAATTACAAGATTGTTAAATTCTTGGAGTCTATACCATTCATTGCTTTCCTACATTTGTTTTGAGCTGAACCCTGGTGGCATAGTGCCCAGGATACAGAGTGGCAGTGAAAGACTAGAAGCACTTTGTTTCAAAGCTGTCAAGGAAATATATGCAATAATTTTAACACCTGTTTTTATAGAACTGGACCAAACTATGTGCCACACAGCAATTTTAGTCACATCAGGACTGAATTTAAAGAGAGGAAAGAACTACCATGGGGGATGGCAGCTGTTGAATGCCCTTCTTATCTCTCTTTTGCTATGAATTTGGAAAGGGCACTGCTCAAAACTTTGCAGCCTTAAGACTCAAATACTTGTGGCACACCTTGTCTCTGATCATTAATAAAACCAATTTCTTTCATACTTTCAGCTAAATGTTACATTTACTATTTAAAATGTTTGATTCATTACATTGCCATAAAATTGATTAATTCATAGTTAATGAATTGTTTTTCCCTGCAAAATCCAAATTCCTTCTCTTTCTTAAATGATAGCTGGAAAGAGAACTGACATATGAGAAGCTGTCCGAATGGACTGACTCCAAGAAGATGACTGAGACTCTTGTGGACCTGTACCTACCTAAATTCAAAATGGAAGAGAGATATGACCTCAGTGATAATCTGGTCAGGATGGGAATGCGCAGTGCCTTCAGCAGCAATGCTGATTTCAGTGGAATGACAGAGGAGAGAGTGATGATCTCCAAGGTTTTCCACAAGTCTTTTGTTGCAGTTGATGAGAAGGGCACTGAGGCAGCTGCTGCTACTGCTGTCATTATAGAACTAACAAGTGCACATGTTAGCCATGTTCTGAAATTTAGGGTTGACCACCCTTTCTACTTTTTCATCAGACACAACAAGTCCAAGAGCATCCTTTTTTTTGGTAGATTCTGCTCTCCTCTTGAATGAATAATTACTTGCTCTCAGACAGCAACCAAGGTTCACTGTTCAATGGAAAAAATGTGAACTGCGGTGCTAAAATCTCAACCTTAAGCCATGTAGCCACCTGTACTGAAGTACCTGTTCTTTTTCTTCCACCCAACCCCCCTCAAAGAAGGCAGCAAACAGAAACTATCCTGAGCCACCAAAGAACAGCCCTCTACTGCTTCTTTCTCTTGTCCTAACGAGACAGTCCTAAACAGAAAAGAAAGCAAAGAATTTTGCTCCCTTTTATCAAATCTGCTCTTCTGGCTTTGTTGTTTAAAAGTAAGGTGGAGTCATAAAAGCTCTCTGCACACAGGCCATCATCTAGCCCTATGTCAAATGCTGACTACAAGGGAAACGCAGTTCATTCTTTTGACTCTCACAGAGAGGAAAAAGAACCCTGAAAAGAAAAAAACCAAACTTGTAGAAATCTGTATGCTCTCTTTTTCTCTCCTTCCCTCACTGGGAAACCTGCATTTGTACTGCAATGCTTCATAACCTTAATTTCAAATTTCAATGACTGTTGGAATTTAAAAAAATTTAATACAAATCCAGAATAATCTCAGAATGCCCCTTACCATCCCTTGTCTCACCACATGTATATAGGCATATCACATTCATTCTCTCCTGCTCTTTCAGCTTCCTGAAAAAGTAAGACTGTGAGAGAAAATTGTCCAACCCTTAATATTAAATTGCTGACTTCTAATCACATTGCATTTTTTCCTCATTTTTCTAATTTTTTTAGTTTAAGGTTGTTGAGATTTCCAACCAGCAAAAATGCTAAGAAAACTATTAGCAACATGCCTTCTTGCCACCTTTTTTATTGATATGTAATCTAAACCTGTTAGAATTTAAATCTGTTTCCTCTTTTTAATTTTGCTTAGTTATACCTGTTTCCTGTTTAATACCTGCAAAGCTTCCTTGCCACCTGTAATAATGACCAATGTTTGATTTGTATCTTATGAGTGCATCTTAGCAAAGATATTTGTCGTATTGACAGAAACACCAGTGAAATTTTGATTTTGATTGATGCTTTACTTATTATTTTACCATGAGCTGCATTTAATGAAATAAATAAACTTGAACTTGTGTTTGTGTTGTTCAAGACACTGAGTTACTTGGTTCTCTTACAGCATCCTGCAATCTGCACAGCTGGAGCATGTTTCCATTCTTGTCATTCCAAATCAACCACCACACCATCCCAACTGACAAAGCTGAGAAACTTTAACACACTTGTGTCTTATTTTCACCAGGTTTCAAATAGGCCTCCAAACACTGTTATTCTGTGTGTCATCCAAGCATTTACAAACATACCTTTCACAACACACTAGAAATAAGGAGTCTGACCAGAGGCTATAGACCAGAACAGCACCTTCCAAATATCCCTCTTGACCTTGTTCAAGAGTGAACAAGCAATGTGAAAAACAAAATGAACCTTCCACACATCCCTCTTACCCATGTGCAATAATGAACAAGTCATGCTGTACTGGCAGCGTCAGTTCCCTCTGACAGCTTGGGAGGGCAGCAGTTGTGCTATCCCTGTGGCATCAGGAATAGCATAAAGTTTTGAGGCCATTGTGGTAGTCCAAATATGTGTCAGAGAACATTATGTAAGAAAACAGGATCTGAATGCACAAGGGAGGTACTGGGAAAGCATTTACTCTCAACAAAATTCCACCTATAATTACAACTTGTTCCACCTCCCCAGAAGGTATTCTATTTGGAACTACATCTCCCTTCAACAAACAATTTCCACATCATCTTCCCTGTACAAAGTGCTGCTTCTAAAATTAGCACCCTCCCTTGCCTGTAAGCCACAGCTCAGGATTTAGTTGTCTGTCCTTCAGGGCTGACCCCAGTGCAGCCCAGATGTGTGCTATTGACTTGGCTTTACTGAGAAGTTTGTTTTTTAGGTGTGGAAGAACACATAAGTGAAGGCTGTGAAAAATAAAAGGAGGGAAAACAGAACCTCTGTGGCTCTCTCTCACTACAGCACAGTGACTGCCAGCTGGCGAGAGATGCAAAAGGTCAAACAGGCTGGGTTGGCTACCAAGCCACTCCCAGTCTCAGCTTTCCTTGAAGAGTACACATTCCAGTGTATGGCTTGGAGTACAAGTGAAATATGTGAAAGAGAAGAAAAGGAACCCATCTAGTACTGCAGAGCTCTTCTACTGCAAGCAGCACTGAGCTGCTTCATTTGTGCTTCCCTGCATTACTGTCATGGTAACCAGCATCTGGGTCTCAGGTCAGGGTAACCCTTGAGGAAACAGAGAATTGTCAGGGTAGAAGTGACTATTTGAGATCATCTGGTCCCACCCACTATGCAAACAGGCTAAATTGATGCTGGTTGCACAGGGCCATATGCACTGGATTTTGAATACCTGTCTCCACCAATGAAGGATACACAAGCTCTCTTGGCAACCTGTGCCAGTGTTTGACCATCCTCATAAGTGACCATCTTCGTCCTCTCTTATGTTCAGATTGAACTTCATGTTATCAGTCTGTGCCATTGCCTCTTATCACCTGTCATGGTTTGACACTTGCCAAACACCAGATACCCACAAAAGTCGCTCACTCACCCTCCTCTGCCACAGCTGGGCAGAGGAGAAAAAAAATTGACAAAAGGTTCATGAATTGAGATAAGGACTCAATTCATGAACCTCAATTTCATGAAGGGAGAAAACACTCCAAAGGCAGTGGAGGTACAAAGTGAATTAGAGGAACAAAGTGAATTTATTACAAACCAAATCAGAGGAGGATGATAGGAAATAAAACAAGCCCTTAAACACCTTTTCCTCCCCCATTCCCTCTCTCCTTCCCATCAACAGTGCAGAGAGACAGGGCATGGGGGTTTGGTCAGTTCATCACCTGAGGTTTTCTTCTGCAGCACAGGGAGACAAGTCCTTCCCCTGTGAGACCATGGGGTCCTTCCCATGAGAGACAGTTCTCCATGAACTTCTCCTGCATGGGTCCATTCTCAGAAGCAGAAGTCCTCCCAAAACTGCTGTGGTGTGGATCATTCTTTCATGAGGTGCAGTCCTCCAAGGCCAGGCTGCTCCAGCCTGGGAGCAAGGGCCCCCTCTCTCCACCCAGTCTCCCACTGGATCACAGCCTCCTCCAGACATCCACTCACTCCAGCATGAGCACCTCCCCCACAGGCTGTGGGTGGATTTTTGCATCCCCTGTGGATCCCCATGGGCTGCAGGGGCACAGCTGTTTCACCATGACCTCACCATGGCCTGCAGAAGAATCTCAGCTTCTGCACCTGGAGCACCCCCTTCCGCTCCTTCTCCACTGACCTTGGTGTCTCCATGTTGTTTCCCTCACATGTTCTCACCTCCTCCTTTTCTCTGGTTAGAAAAACACTGTGTGTTTTTATTTTCTTCTTATATTTGTTATCATAGAGGTGTTACCAACCTTTCTCAGCTTTGGCCAGCAGCATGCCCCTCTTCAGAGCATCAGGGAATCCTCTGTTGGGCATGGTAGAAGCTGCTGGCAGCTTCTCACTGGAACCACCTCTGTGGCCTCCTTGCTACCAAAAACCAGGCTGTGCAAAACTCATGGGAACCTCTGAGAAGAGCCTAGTTCCTTCTATGTTACACCCTGTAAGGCATTAGTCAAGTAAAAGGTGCAACGTGACTGCATTTCCAAATAACTGTTTTCAAAAAGCCTTGGGTTTGTTCTGTATCATCAAAATTTGCAACTTCAGGACCACAAACTCCTCTTTGAAAAGCCACAGTAACTTTGAAAACTAAAGAAATAAGTACTTAACTAGAAACTGATAAAGCAAGACTCAACACAAACACATTGTGAGCACAGACCACTTGTCACTAAGTGATTCCACGCTTGTCAAAACACAGCATATTAACATGCTTTCAGTTTATCCTACAATGGAACATGGGGATTTTGTGTTCCAGTACCAATGTGAGATTCATAAAATAACCCCTGACACCTCTGTGATAGACAGAATTCATGAAAAGCAGAAATGGTAGACATAGGTTGCATTAATAAAGCCAAGAAAATTCACAGTGTTGGTGTACTGTTAGTATACAAGACAAGGACATATAAACCCCCACTCTAACCGCAATGCAAATGCATCCATATTTTAAAGGTTTTATTTTTTCAACAGAAAGAGGCACAAGAACCCCGCTTTTCAGGTGTTATTTAGAGTCCTGTCTTTGCAGTTCTATTGTAACAAATGTGACACTTGGTCTCATTTTCTTCCCAAGCAATATAGCTGAATAGGTTTTTTTGCAGACCAAAAATCCATAATTAGACTTAGTCTAACACTGATTTTAAATTCTGCTGCTTATTATTAGCAATAACTGCAAGAGAACTCAACTTCAACAAATGCCCAAAAGGCCCACTCAGAGTGGATAATTTACAAAGTACAGATATAGGAATATGGTAGTTAATCAGGCAGAAAGATACAACCTTCCTGCTGAGCCAGATAGGAATGAAAGATGGCTTCATTAAAGACCAAATTTGTTAATCAGTATGTCAGGGGAAAATGACTAGTTTTATCGAAAACTTTTTTATAACCATTTATCAAAGGTCAATTCACTTGAAGTCAATAGGTCAGGCATTGTGATGCAGTGAAACCTTTTTTTTTTACCATTCTCTCTGCATCAATTCACAACTTGTTCTCACTGTTTACATCTGGCACTGCAAAACCAAGAGCTCTTACTTGGCTAATGTGTTTCCTTCTGTAACTTCAATGTCTCTTACCAAACAGGATCTTGCAGCAGCTGGTATATACCACAAAGAGTGTCTACACAGTTTGGGAACCCTTTCTTCATCTTCCTGCATTTTTGGCCAATCTTCGGACCTTGTAGTACCACTAACTGCTTGGGAGTTTTTCTTCTATGAATTTATCTAGAAAACAAACAACAGCATATTAAGATACACAGCAGAACTTTTCTTAAGCTCATAAGCCAATACAACATTGCCTAATATGTTTCTGAAGCAAGAAAATAAGATGAACATGCAAGGCACAAAAACTGCACTTAAAAACAAAAGGTATGAAGAAAGCAAGGCACACGTATCTCTCTTGAAACCTCGCATAGCATATACAGTAGTCAGATTTTAAGTGTATAGAAGCACTAAAATATAATCCTTGTTCAAAAGATGAACTTCATACTGATGCTTTTTCCATATAGGTTGTCAGCACGTAGGTAATTTCTTTACTCTGCATGTGCCATACTGGTGGGCAGGGGCCATTCTTTACTAAGGTTGAATGTAGCAGAAAAGACAGATCACAATCGCAAATGAAATTTATCAACACAATTTAATCTGAGTTACAAAGATTAAGATCAGAATTACACTGGTTTAACGTAAAACATTTGATTACATCTTACGTTACACCTTTGCTGATATCCACTTTTACACATTCTCCCGTTTTTGCTCCCTGCTCTTATATGGCAGTTTCAGTAAAAGAAATCGTTACAAGCAGAGCTTCCAAGTAGCTTTTCAGCTTTTGGTGGATGATTCATAATCACTAAGTCCACCAGAGAGGGATAATGAGCTCAGTACAATGCAGGGCCTGTAGGTATCTAAAGCACCTTCGCTGACTTTGCTAGGACCACAAGTCTTTCAAAACAACATCTACCAGTTCAAATGAGCCCAGAACTCACACTTATTTCATCACCTATTTTAGGTGACTGTGTAAATACCTTCTGAACTTCCTTTGTGATGTGTTTTCTTTAAAAAAAAAAGCAAAAGCGCAAAATATCCTTGTACAAAATAAGGGCTTTATGTGGCCTGAGGTCTACAAGTATTTAGATGCCTCAAATTTAACCAGAGGATCAATGAGATTAACAGTCTATTTCAATATTCCCTTTTAGCCATAGCTTTGAGATCAACTACTGTTTATTTCCCCAGCTGGTAGAGTATAGAGAAAAGGAAGCTGTAAAATCATTTCACCGCATCTGTTGGCAATGCAGTGTGGTTGAATTATTTTCTGCAATTCCTATTTTTTTTGCAGGCCAACTCCAAGGTTGTGGAGGACACCTGTAGGGAACTGGAATACTGGCCTTCATGTTCCAGGACATACATGCTCTAGCAGGGACCTTGAATTGAAGAGGTCTCTTAAGTTCTGAAAGCAGG